CAGGAAGGTAGGAGTCAGAAGTGAAAAGATTATATGTTGCCTGGATTGTGTTTATGCCTCAGCTTTTTGGGAGTGGCAGACAGATGAGAGAGCTCCTTTAGCTAAAGTCATATATATAAAAAATTAGAATAGACATGTTTCTAAATCATCTTTGGTGCAAAGAATTGTTACTATGCACTATATATAATATGAAATTTAGATGATCTTTTGGTGATAAGCATTAATCATTAATAAGGAATAGTTGATTATCTTTTTGTTATTCTAAACATGTGGGACCCTTGTATAAAACAATTTGAAAATCTGACACACTTCTTACACTTGATGGCTGTGTCAGCAGAGTACGTAAGAATGGATCTGAGGCAAAGTTATGTGTATTTCTTTTCTACAGAGGTGATTTTTCTAGGATGGTATTAAGAGTTTATGGGATGTGAAAGAAAACTGGGAACTGATGCTAAATTTTGACCGCCAAGTATCCTAGATTTTGTTACCTACACATTTTAAGTTGAGCAGTTTTTAACAGCCTTAAAAATTAGTGTTAATATCTCTATTGATATGCTTACAAAATGAAAAGCAAAAGGAAGTGGTCTTAAGAAGGCTATCATTGATATTTAGTGTGTTTAAGGAGAGATGGGGAGTAGATGAGAGAATACAACATTGTAGTATAGAAAGGAGAAAGCAGGGAGGTGTGAAAAATTAGGCAAATCACATACCCAGTAATAGTTGTACTCTGAGCACATTTTATACTTTATTCACCCAAGTTCAGTAAAACTTTAGCCTTAATTTTTATAAATTTTAGGGATTTCTGTTTTTTTGTACTACTAAAATGATTAAATTTAGGCCCTTTGTTTACAGGGAAAATAAAACGATTATCCTGTTTTCACTTTGATAGATTGACGTAAGCAAGAGATTTTTGTTTTTTTTTCATTTGGGGCCTCCTCAATTCTGACTTATCCCTTATCTTTCTAGGTCAATGGAGTGCAGCTCTATGGGAAATCTCGCCGAGAAGCAGTCTCCTTTCTTAAAGAAGTGCCGCCCCCCTTTACCTTGGTTTGCTGTCGACGGTTGTTTGATGATGAAGCCTCTGTAGATGAACCAAGGACCACTGAAACCTCTCTTCCTGAGATGGAGGTACTAAATGAATACTCGCACTGTGGTTCCCATAGGCATGCCCCTTCATCAGGGATGTCCGGAGAGTGTATTGTGATATGAAGGGGGAGGGGAGAACCTTCCTCTTCTGTTTGACAACAGTAGCTCTCAAAGGCAACAATGCATAGCTTTTCAAATTGTTACTTTTCTTTAATGTCATGAAACTTTACTCTCTTTTTTGGTAACTTGAAAGGTTAGTAACATTAATGTGCATGCACTTTGATTTTAGAAAACCCTTTTTTAGTAATTACCTGAGCTCCTTACTTTTGGCTCCCAGTTCAACTCAGTTCATCTTAACAAGTTTAAGATGTTGGTAAGTATTGAATATCTAATGGGCTTCCCTTTTTCAGAGCTTTAAAAACATGAAGATCTATGACCAATTTTGAAATGAGTAAAAATTGCTGTAAGAGCCTTCAGAAGGTCAGAGAATAAAATAACACTTTTGTGCTCCCGGTAGTTTTTTTTTTTTTTTTTTTTTTAAAGAGCATTGTAATTATGAAAACAGATTTAAGCACATGCTTTTCCAAATTATGTTTTTGTAACTTTTATGTCACTTTTCCCCTTTCCAGACTCTTTTAGATTATAATTCCATTAGCACCAGTTTTGATACACAGGGGCTTCTCTTTTGCCTACCTACGGTCTGATTTTCAAGGTACATAGACCCTAATGTTGCCTCTGCCACTTAATGATTTGAATGATTGAGCAAATAACTTGACTTTCTGTTGATTTTCTTCCTCTGAAAAATGAAGATACTTATTGTACTTACCTAATCTGTGGTGAGAGAAGGAAATGAAGTAATGTGTGCAAAGTTCTTAGCACAATGCCTTGTGTAAGGACGGTGCTCAGTAAAAATTAGCTATGGCTGTTCTCAACTCCTCCTGTCCACCTGTCCTTTTTTGTGATTTCCTAAAATACAAGAGTGTAGCACTGTCCTGCAGTCACAGATACTTTAGTGTATATTAAGTTTGTTTTTTCAAGAAGACTGTCAGCTCCTGTGGGCAGAGGCCAAATCTTAGAATTATTTTGTATCTCTTGGTGTTTTTATTCTTTACTGCACATATACAAAGTGCTTAGTAAATTATGGATTGTTGATTGATCATTTTTTTTAATGCTTATCTTTGGTAAACATGTTTCAAGGAAGGGACTCAAATGCCACACTTTTATGATTCTTGCAATCTTTACTAAAATTAAATGTGGGTGATAGCTTACCTCTACTGCTAAAAATGCCGTTAATCTAATCTTACAGGGTGTGTAAATCACCAACTCCGCTTGCTGACTCTGTGCTCCCATCTGTCATACTTTACCACAATGGGTAAACAACAGCTTTGAATTATGCTCAATGTCATCCTTGCTGCCCATTAGTTGATTGCTTTCTATTCTGTAAATATAGGAGTTATGCAGAATTGATTGTATCAAAGTGATATATTTCTGGTTGGAGTATAATATCTTATATATGTTGGATGCCTTGAAATTTCTATAAACTTGGGTTTTGAAATTATATGTGGTTTCTTAAAATCCTGGCTCTCTTTTCTGTCTCTCTTTTTTCATTTATCTCAATACAATCTTAGGTTCTTAGACCCTATATTGTTAAGCAGCTCAGACAAAATTCTAATGCTTATTAATCAGTAAAGGTATTAAATGCCTCAGTAGAACATCAATTGTATTGTATTACCATTGTAACTTTACTTTTTATTGGAAAGTATAAGTGTTTTCTTTTTAAATCTATCAGTTCCTCACATCAGACTGATATAAACAGATATTTATTGATCCAGAACGTTCCCACTAATTTCAAGTTCTGTAATTCAAGAACCAGGAAATCATTCGCATGTTTAGATTTAATCCACCATGTCCTGCAGGGACAGTATGAGATCTGGTCCAGCCCTCATTTCAAGATGTTTTTGTATTAGCTATGGTGCCTTACTCTTCCATAATAGAGGGGTCCATCTGCCTGCCACATCTGCCAGCTTTTATTCCATTAAATGGATTTTCTTATACAGGTCACTCAAAATTATATTCATAGGAAGTATATCATTTTATTTTATTTACTTCCATTTTATTTACTAAGATCATTCAAAGTTTTTAGAAGTAGACTTCTTAAAGACTATTATTTATAGCTTTATTTAAAAAGAGTTTCAAGGGAAGGCCACTCACAGTTGGGTGATTGACTCATTATGTATTGAACAAACATTTATGGAGTGCCTACTATAAGCCGCACGCTGTTGTGGGTTGAGGGGATAACCATGGTAAACTCTATGACAGCCCACACCGTTCTAGCCTAGAAGCCAGGCATTTTGTTAATTGTTAGGGCCACAAAGAAAAAGAAGATAATTCTTGAACCTCAGATAGAAGTTCAGAGTATTTGGGGAGGTTGGAGCAGTTATTCTCCTTCTGCGTAGTCAACTCATTGACTGTCTGTCGTTTAGCTTCCTAGAATTCCATGTGCCAGTGACTCTTTTCCCTGAAAGGAGCGAGCTTGGAATAGGGGATGTGCGGGTGTGGAGTCAGGGAAAGCAGCTGAGGATCTGTGTACTGAGTAGTTGTGTTGACCTCCTTCCTCCAAGATCAGGTTTTCATTATTTCAACTCTGATTTTTACCTGTTTTTAGACTTACATGATTTCCAAAGACTTGGATTTTTTTTCACCTTATTTTTCTAGTAAAGTTTTTCTTGAAAACTAGGAGCCAACAGAATGGGTATCTCTCTGTCCTGTCCTGGCCTCTGTGTCGGTGTCTTTCTCTCTGTCTCTCACTGTAATTATGAATTCAGGTATTGCTACTTAAATATCTTAAAAGCTTTGATTTTGTGTGATGTTTTCATATCTTCTTAAATTGCATATTTTTCCTTTTATGCTTCTACTGGGATGACAGAACTCATTTTAGTATAAGAGGTCAGTGTTAATACTTTGAATGAAACAGACACTTTAACGTAAAAAAAAAAACCAAAAACTATATGAACAACCTGTTTTTTTAAGTGCTTGAATTTTCATGAAGGTTTTATACTAAAGTATATGTGCCCCAGTGCATGCCCCTTTTAAAAAGATTAAAAAGAAAAACTATGCATGCCAAAGAGTATCCTCATTTTGAGAAGAAGCTATGAGATTCCTGATACGTTAATTCTTTGCAAACTTGAAAGGACAGTGTATTGAAGCATTTACGTTCTTTGGTATTTCAGGCTGACCACAATATAGATGTCAATACTGAAGAAGATGATGATGGGGAATTAGCCCTGTGGTCTCCTGAGGTCAAGATTGTTGAACTAGTAAAAGATCATAAAGGCTTGGGATTCAGCATTTTGGATTATCAGGTATAAGAATCTATACAGAGCTTTTTGGAGCAATTAGTTTGTTTTAAAGTTATATGAAGTAGTAATTGTTTAAGGCATCCACTGACTTAGGCAAAACTGAATTGTTTGATGTATAATATGCTACTGTCCAAAGGTGGGGTGTTATAATTTCCGTTGTTACCATTACAATTGATAGCTCCCTTAGTGAATAAAATGATAGATGATGTAATAAGTGGACATAAGGGAAGGAATAGTTTTATACCCATGGATGCTTTTAGAGACTGGAACTTGATGAATTTTTTTATATGGAGGATTTTTTCCTCCAGCTTTATTGAGATATATTTCACACACCATAAAGTTCACCCATTTAAAGCATACATACAGTTCGGTTGTTTTTAGTATATTTGGAGTTGTGCAACCATCACCACAGTCTAATTTAAGAACATTTTCATCACCCCAAAAAGAAACCCCATACATATTAGCAGTCATTCCCAATTCTCACTCTCTTCTCCCTTCCCTTCACGTGAAGGTTTTTATAGTTTTGCTTACCTATTAATTTCAATGAGTGTAACTGAGTAGAAATGTTCTTGGTGAAGTTTATATTTAATATAGAACATATAATATTTATGTATTTATATGTACCCCAATTATAACTATGGTAAAGTTACCGATGCATTTGGTTTGGGGGTGGCAATGTGAAAGGTCACAGTAAGACATCTATACGTTACACCAGTTTACCAGTTAAAGTGTTTTTAGACCATCTGACTAACATGGAGAATTAAAACTGTTGGCAAGAAATCTCTTCACTTTTAAGATGCATATTTTAATACATTAGTGCTGCCTAAAGACGCTGTGGTTTAATAAAGCAAAATGTACTCTATCAAAGCACATAAAATGCCAAGTAATATAAAAATCAATTTTTTTTTTAAAATAAGGCAATCGGGAATAGATTGAAAGAAAAATACTTTGAGCATTATGTAAGAACATTAAATTCCATATTTTGGCAGTGTGCTTTAAGATTACTGAAATAGATTATATCTATTTTATTTTTGCTGGCATATTTCTGTGCCAGATAACCCTCTTCATTATTGGAAGTTCTCTTTGGAATATTATTGAATTATGAGTTGTTGATTCCAAAAAATGCATATTTTGGGAAATATCTTTTTCAAGAAATATTAATACTATAAGATTCTGGAAGTTTATATATTGGTTAATTATTAGGGCATATAAATATAAAGCAAATGGCACGTATTGATACTTTTTTTTCCCTCTCCAGTGTTGCTTTATTACCTAGTACATAGTAGGTTATTGATAAACATTTGCAGAATGATTGAATAAAGTTTAGGTTAGCCAAAATTGATTGGGACTAAATGAACATATTCAATGGGTTTTTTTGGTTAACATGTTGATAACTGGGATTTAGTTTAGAAAACGCTTTTCAGATGTGGTTTTAGATATTCAGCTACATTTTCATTATAATTGGAATCTATGTTTTTGCATTCTTATAAATATATCATAATGATTGCTCTTACCTTCTTAAAAAAACATTATCTGCAAGTTTTATATTTTGAACATTGCACATGTTAGAGAAATGCTTCAGAAATTGAAAAGAAAAACAAAAAGTTCAGTAAAAGATGGAAAGAAAAACTTGATAGTCTTTAACAGTGTAATCTCTGCTTAAGAGAAAAATTCCTTTATCAGTTCTGAGTTTTACACTTAAAAAAAATTATATATATATATATATATATATATATATATATATATATATACACATATATATATGCATTGTAACATACCTTTGGTTTTTTTTGGATATTATTTTTATTTGTAAAATTCTAGATGTCCCCCATCCCATCTTCCTCACAATCACCATTACACACACTGATGTTTATTTCTGCACAAATTATATGAAGTAATTTTGCTGCAAAAGAAGTGTTAGATATTCTTCTTGCTTTTGTGCTTATTGGAGAACTGATAGAAAAAAACCTTCATTTTCTAAATGCTACTTGATTCACATTAAAGGGCTCAGCTTATTTATTTCTGCAGCTAAACCTTGGAAGGAAAAACATTCAGCCTTAAACTGAATGTTTTTCTTAAGTCAATCTTAAATACACTTATAGTTGTACACAGCACGTTTTCACCATTTGTCAGTGGTATGTGAACTGTTATCCCCGTGACATTTAGATGACACGTAAACACAATTTAAAATTTGGTTTTGGGCAAGTTAATTAATTGGTTATACCACCTCTTGTTGTAATTAGGTAATAAATTCTAAAGTTCAGAAATATTTTTTGCAAGGCCAGGTGAAGTTTTAGCAGAAGCCGTGAAAGGCCACGTTCCTGGTTATTATTGAATTTGATGCTTCTTGTATGAATTTATTAGGCAGCTGAATAGGGCTGCTGCAGAGTTTCACGCTCACCCCCAAGCTTAGAATAGTTTGTATAAGAAGTGCTGTAGAAACATCTTAGCCACAGCGAAAAGATTTTAGTGTAGTGGGAGACTTTCCAGGTTATAAAGGACCTGTATTAGCAGTATTGAAGAGATTGAAAATTTACTTTGGTATTTTAATTTCAGTTAACCACTTTTCTCACTACTGAGTTTTTCTCTAGAAAAATAAGAACTCTGTCAAGAGCCTGACAAAATTATATACAATATACATTTTATAGGTGCTTTTACAATTTCTTCATGTATAAAATGGGGATAATAATGTTTAGCTCAAAGGATTATTATGGTTTAAGTAAATTAACATGTAAAGAAGTGGGAAATGTTAGATTATTATGGAAATGTATTATTAATAATAATCTAATTTAGAAGATAAACACAAAAAGTCTTGGTAGTGTCCTCAAAGATGGAGCCATACTTCAATATGTTTGTGTTCTATCCATTTTTAACTAGATTAGGAAAATTAATAAGTAGATGCTTTTAATTAGTAGATGTTTAGTGAAGTCTAAATTTAATTGTAAAATTACGTTCTAAAATGCAGCCAACTCTTGATGAGCCATATGTGAATTACCCATTTGTGGATTATTGGCCAGAAATTTGCTTTTCACGTAAATTGAGCCAAGCTTTAGGAAGAGATGAGCGAGAACATAAAGGATCTTGAGCTGGCCACGGAACGATGGGATGGCAGTCTGGATAGGGGATTCAGTGATTCACCAGTGATGGAAATTGTGTAGTTGAGCAGAGAAAATAAGCAGGTCTTTGTACCTGCAGTGAAAGAGCTGAATCTGATATACGGTTCTACAGCTCAGTCATATGGCCAAAGAGGAATGTGTGGCAATTCATTTTCATGAAAGGCATTTTAAATAAATTGGGGCAAAGGAAGAGGAGAAAGCAACAGGGGAGACTTAGTAAATATGATTCAGGTTGTTAGTCTCATTAAATTTTAGGGTGAAGTGATTGTAGCTTTTTTGGCTGTGATTTGAAAGGAGGTAGGATATTTGTTAGTCTCAACTGTGCCTAGGCATTGCTTCATGTCATGGCTCGTTAAAATCCGGCCCTGTAAGTATACCATATTAGAAGAGTCCTTGGTCACTGTAACGTCATGCCTTATAAGATCATGTCATAGAAAACAGCGATGTGCATAGTTTGTCAAAAGCATGAATATTATGGCTTAATTGTGTACTCTGTTTCTAAGCAATATAGAACTCTTCAGAAATTTGGTTATAAGTTTTTGTAGTATAGTTTTTTGCCAGTTTCTAGGTATGATTACATACTGTGCCCTAGTTATCTTTGTCTTGATTCCCCATTATTTATGTGTAATGTCTTTATTCCTTGGAATATCACTACTGCTCATATTGATACTAATCCTAATATTAATCCAAATAATTAATACAAATCCAATAATAATAGCTAACATATAGTGAGTGTCTGCTGTTTGCTAGGCACTGTTCTAGTTACTTAATGTTTTCCTCACAAGAACCATATGAAATATGTACTATCATTATCCTCATTTTAGAAGTGAGGAACCTGAGGCACAGAGAGGTTAAGTAACTCATCCAAATTCACACAGCTAGTATATGGCAGAAATAGAGTTTGAACTCATGCAGCCAGCTGCCAGAATCTAGGCTTTTAACCACCACACATACTGCTTCTTTACTTATGAGTGGTGTTTCCTTGGGTATTTTATTACAGTGAGTCCCTGTAATAAATTTATTGCAGTAGATCTTCCTGTTTTTTTCAGCTTGCAGAACAATTTCATATCCTAAAGCCAAGCTGCTAGATACTATCTCATTTTCAATGCTTATATGAAAGTTTAGTAAGTATTAAAAATTAATATAGTTTGCTTATATGCACTGTGTAAGAGCTAGTGTTTATTGCTTTAAATGAAAATAATTACAAATTTGAGTCCTAAATTAGTGCAAGTAATTTGTTGTGGGCTAATGTTCAGTAATGAAGCAATTATTAGGTAGTCTGATAGTCTGTAATTTTTAATTTCTACCAAAAAGCTTGAAATAAATTTGTAACTGTGGATTTTACCTTCATTTGACCTTTTAAGTTAAACATCGCAAGTGGATATTTTCTGGTGTTTTGATTTACGTTGAACTTTGAATAACCCCTCATGATTATAATTCACTGGAAATGTTTAACGTTAGCCAGTTTTTGAACATTAGCCATGATCTTGCCATTCTTGATACTTTTTTTTTTTTTTTTCTTTTTGGTACGCGGGCCTCTCACTGTTGTGGCCTCTCCCGTTGCGGAGCACAGGCTCCGGACGCGCAGGCTCAGCGGCCATGGCTCACGGGCCCAGCCGCTCCGCGGCACGTGGGATCTTCCCGGACCGGGGCACGAGCCCGCGTCCCCTGCATCGGCAGGCGGACTCTCAACCGCTGCGCCACCAGGGAAGCCCCCATTCTTGATACTTTTGAATTTCAGTGATTTAGCAGGTAAAATTTATTAACCAGTAATCTCCTCCCTCCCATATCCCATTCCTCAGTTCTCTCCCTTCCCGATATGGGGACTGAACTCAATTTTTGTCAAAGCAGCTATTTTTGAAAGGCTTTGGGTTTATCTCAGACACT